CATAAAAGAGTATCTTTAATGATCAGACATGTAGATAAAATATTTTGCAAATAAGTATTTTCAGAGATTTATAAGGATGAAAATATTTATTTACAGTCTCTTAATTCCAGAGTGCACAATTTTATCACGTTCCCATAGTGGGAAATAAAAACATACAGTATGTTTTGTATAACTATCATGCTCCATCTGCTTGATGGATGATGATGTATTTTTCTGTATAATGTTATTAGAAGGGGAGAACTGATTAGAATTTGTAGGGAACTATATGCCAGGCATACATAATTTGATTGTAAGAAGTTGCTCGGATTTGCCAGTTTTTGGAAGGCATCCTCTAGAATATATTACTTGCCTCCTCCCGTTATTTATTGCATTTGTTTAAGCAGGACTTATGGAGCTGTTTTAGTGTTATTTGTTTTTTTTTCGCCTGGCATTTGGTGCCACCATTCGTATATCTCAGAATGATTTACTTAGACAACACCGTGTTGGCTTCTTTGATTTCATTTGGCTTTCTAAATCCAACCCTGGTGTAGCAACACAGCCAAGTGAGGCAGGCAGAAGCAGGCGCTCATTCCTATCACTGTTTCCATACTCCTCTCAAGGCATTTATGGCTTTTCGAAGCCTCCCGTGTCCTGGCCTTCATACTCATGTTTTGCACTAGCTGCCCAGTAGCAATACTCCAAGAGTTGGCTTTTTTTTTTCCTTTTGTTTTACTTTTTTTTTTTCCTATTTCCTGGCATTTTTTTCCTTTTATTTTCCTTTATTTTATTTTGTTTTATTTCATTTCATTTCATTTTTAATTATTTTTTTAAGAGTGGTGCAAACAAGCCATGTTAGGAGACCTAAGTTTTTCATTTTATAATGTGCGGCAGCGATTGCTTTAAAACACCATCCCATTAGGGCCAGCTGGGACCATGCGAAAAGGCTGAGCCACATTCAGCCCTTTCCCCCTGAATTAAGTGGAAATGTTGCATCTTGCCTCATATAAGTGTCAATGCATCCTGGAGGCTGTGGGGACCTGACATTTTTATGGTCAGAGAGGGCAGCTGGGGGGCTTTTGTCTGCATTTTCTATTTTGATGCATATTTTGGCTTTTCCAGTTCGGAGAGGTTTGGGGCAACGCATATTTTCTCAGAAGCAGATTTCTTTCCTGCATCTGTCAAGACAGACCCTTGTGCTCACTGCAAAGTCCACTGGAAAGAGAAAAAAAAATTGGCGTATACATTACAACTATAATTAGCAAAAAAATCTCTTTTTTCAATATGATAAATTCATCTTGATATTTCTTGGCAGTTATTGAATTATACAATTCCATTGAACATTAGGGTTTTTTATGCTATCTTAGCTTTCTCAGTGTAAGCAGAGCTCTAATTTGTGGCGTTGCAAACAAGGCAAGGGATTATTATTTTAAACATCATGCAAAACTTTCTGAGGATTTCTATTCATCTGTCTTGTTACCCATCATTTTCATTTTATCTTCCTGTCGCCTGGAATGAAACAGGAATGGAAATGTAATTTCCCGGGGGCCTTAAAAATTGGGGAGTATTAAATGCAGTTGAAATTAAGCGATGAATAATTTAGCGTTAGGCTATAAATCAACTTCATGGGATCCCAAAGACCAAATGCAACCCTCGACACACTAGTGGAAACAAAACAATCTGGAGGTTGGGACCATGAGACGCTTAAAAGGGGAAGCTGCCCCCTAAGTTAATTAAACCACAGCCTTCTGGTAACGAAAATAGACTTCCAATTTGCACCAAATTTGCCCGGAGCTTCTGGACCAAGACATGTCTTCCTGCTTGCCAGCTAACAGCTTAATGGCTGCTCATCAAATGCCCCCAAATTAAATATATATATATATATATATAAAATATATGAAATATGTATGTATATACAACTCATCCTCTGCCCTGTGTTTTGTTGCAGATGTTGGCTCCGGCTTGACACCTACTTCATCTGGAGCTTTATAGGACCGGCCACCTTGATAATTATGGTAAGCACTCCTAATTAACCCCCACCGTTGCCCGGAGAAGGGTCAAAACCTTGGCTATAAAAACTGTAGGAAGAGCTGATTTCCTACGGCAACTCATCTGTCTCAGAGAAGAGCCCAACTTTCTCCCTGTCACATCGAGCCATGTCGTACAACCTTTTTTCCTTCTTCTTTTTTCTCTCTCCTTTGCAGCTTAATGTGATCTTCCTTGGCATCGCTCTCTATAAAATGTTTCACCACACTGCCATACTGAAACCTGAATCCGGATGTCTTGACAATATCAAGTAAGTGGTTCTCCTTGTGGCTTTCTTCTCTGCCTCTTTCTGCCCTTTGCCGTTCGGGCCCCTCTGAAGCCCCGAGCAGCGTTTGGAGGTGGCCGAGTTGGCTCTCATTAGAGTTCCTGCAACTCGCCGTGGTGGTGTTTTCCGTCCAGTTTTGCGTGAAGGAAAGTGAGCTTATGTTTGCCGTCCTTGAAGCCAGCATCCCTTGCAGAAGAGGAAACTGTGTGTACTAATTAGCGGGCAATTACCGCGGTCCCGACAGGGAAGGTGTAGAAATCATTGATTGTTGCTACTGCTCCGCACGCGTCTTCGTTTCTGCTCGTTTCCAGCCCTGCCAGATTTAATGACCGGTGCTTTAATGGCTGCTGATTAGTTTTAGCTCCCGGGGGCTGGCCACATCAGAGGAGACCTTCTCCCAGCAAGGCACACTTTGCCCTCGAGCTCGGTTAGGGTCCGAGATGGGGCATCTTGCTGCCTCATTATATTGATAGAGCACCAGTCTCCATCAGCGCCTGTTTGCTTCAGCACCTCTAGCTTTAATTAATCTCTCCCAAAATGCAAGGGGGTGATTTCAGGTGCAACACGCAATGAGATGTGGAGCCTGATAATTAATAAGACCATCTAATGAACATGGGGCAGAGGAAGCTGTTGACACTTTGCATCTAGAGAAGGCAAGTGGTGTCGGATGCTGTTGGAAGCTGGTTCTTCCCTCCACTTCTGAACAACGAAGTGTTACTCAGCAAGGTCATTACTCGTGGGTGGTACTTTAATTTCAAGTTGGGCCTGTTGGTGATGGCAGCATCACCAGGGTAAGGGGTTGTGTCTTAGGCATAGCTGCTGCTTCAAGGGCGGGGGAGGGGGGCACCAGGGCCAAGCGTGATAGTCTTTCAGTTGTCTCATACAATTTTGGACCTGGACCAAAGAATGATATGCTTGATACATTGCTAATGTCTTGCTAAGGTTATTCACCAAAAAAAAGTCTAGAAATCCTTGCAGTATGACATTATAAAAGGAATAAAATTTATATAATGAATGCAGAGATAATAATTACCGAATAAACTTGCTTGTAATAATCTCTAGTATCTTTGCCTAAAATACCAGAAATTTATACAGCCAGTTAGCATTGCTGTAAAGTATTTTATAGCTTCTGTGGCAGATGAGTGTCTGCTCCAGATATGACTTCATTAGAAGTTTTGAAAACGCAAGCAATTGAAACGCTTTCAGATACATTGCTGATGGGCTTCCAAGCCTGTTGCTTCATTATAAGTGATTTTTTTTGTGTTTAAGAAAAGAAAGTGAGCATAATGTGAACTCAGGAGGACCTGATCTCCATCTACCGAGTGCATCTGGAAAACAATTCCAGAAGTGGCATGATTGTAATTTATAAATACCCGTGCAGAAAGAAGTCCTGTAAGTCTTTAAATCAAAAACACGTGTGGCTTCAATATCAGATACGCTGAAGTTAGGAGAAGGTGCAGATCCTTGGCAGAGAAGGGGGCTCGCCTTTGAGTAACCACCTTTAGCTGCAGACATTGAAGGATTCTTCACCTCTGGAAATCTTCTGGTTAAGATCATAGGTTTTTCCAAAGTCATTTGCTCTTGCTCAGCTGCAAACTGTGGATGTGATGCAGCAGTTCAGGAATAAAAACCACAGCCATTTTGTGTCGAGGGTGACCAGGAGGAGCTTTTCTTTTGCTGACCTCTGTGGGTTTACAGGGTTGGGGAGAACGTACCCCCAAGTCCTTCTAAAGATGCACGTTGACCTTGGTGGCTCTTGGTGGCTCCTAAATGTTGCACCTCATCGTCTCCCATGTAGGAAAAGCGAGCCCAGCCCCAGGGCTGCGCTGGGGGGCCCCTTGCTGCGTGACGTGCGTGTGACAGCTTTACGGCCCGCGGGGAGCTGAATGGGAGCTTGTTCTCCCAGTTCATTTCCGAGCGCCGTTCTGCGTCCGCCTGCGCTGCAGCTCTTGCAACATAAATCCCGAGCCAGCCCAACAACAGCAAAATACTCGATTCCCCATGGCAACGTAAAAATAAAGGCCATAAAATATTTTAATAGGCTGTTAATAAGCGCCCCTGCAATCTGCTGCTTGCCTATGTCACTTTAAAGGTTAGAAATACATTATGAAGCATGGAAAATAGAGAGCCAAATAACTCCACTTAAATTAATGAACTTGATAAGGGATCAGGTGTCACCTGGGGATACCTTTAATTACTGCACCAACAGAAAAGCCATTCAAAGGGCAGTGCCTGCACCAGATGCCGCGCGGCTGGAAGATTTGTAGGTGCTGTGCAAAGCTGTAAAAATAAACTTCCCGAGGCCTTCAGGAACAGTCCTGGCATTATTGTGCTGGCGCAGGAGGACCTGACATCCCTGCACGGGAGCGTTCGGTAACCCGATGGTGAGAGATTAAACAGTAAGTAGCTGTTTTGCTGTCATCCGTGCTAACTTCTCCAGCTTAGCCCAGAGCTTTTCCAAAGGGTGGATCAGTGCCTGCTCGTGGGTAGCTGTGATACATCTGAGGACGGTTCCCCGAGCCCCCAGGGCCGTGGGCATCCTCTTTGTATGTCAGGTTGGAGATTTGCTGTCCCCTTTTCCCCTTGCAGTTGGGGCTGTGCGCTTTGCTGGCTGCTGTTATAGTGCCCAACGCAACTATGGGGCTCCTTATGGTTACCGAAATGGATCCTAAACAGAAAAGCGGTGGAAAATTGTGTGAGTGTAGCAATTATTTAACTAATAAAAGCAGCTTCGAAGACTTTGCAAGTAGAGCTGGCCATGTGCCAAACTTGCAGTTAGGTAGGTGTCTTAACGTGTTTCCAACAGTGGGAGGGGACGGAGCGAAGCCTGGATCCTTCTGCCAGAGAGAAGTCGCCTTTTTTGTTCCTTAAAGATGTAACCTTGGCTTTGAAGTTCCCACATGTGCTTTTTGCTCCGGGCTGTGGTCCCCGCTGCCTTGTTGCAGGGAGGTTTGTTCGCGTTGCACGTAGCCAAACCAGGCGGCCTGACATTCTTCTGTGGTGCAGTATGTGGCAACAAGGCTTTACTTTATTTGCTTTGGAAGGGTGACATGCTGGCCTTTGCTGCCAAATGCATTTAAAGACCCATTAAAGAGAAGGCAGGAGGAGGAGGGCTTTCTCAGCTCACTTCTTTTGTCCAATATTGCTACCTTCTTACGCTAGCCATAGCAGATTTTGTGTTGGTGCCACCTGGATGCTCTTTAGAAAGCCCAGCTCACAGGAACGCTCTTGAAGAGGAAGAAGCTGAGCTTTGATTTGGGTTTGCTGGAAACACTTTCCCACTGCAAAAGAAACATCCCCAAAAGTCCCCTTAGGACTTCGGGTTTTCTTTCTTTCAGATAGAAACATTCAGACTCTTTGCTGGGAGCTCCTTTAGTTTCTGAATAGAGACTATTAATTAAGGGCCTTAAGATAGTTTAATCCTGACACTGTCAAAGAACTGAAATTCCTTTGAAAAATGTGTTTATTCTAAACATGCAGGAGGGAACGTTTCCATTTTCTGCGGCCAGATTCACAAAAGCACTTGCTGAAATCCCAGTGATCCTGGAGTGTCCTGAGTTGCGGCCTCCAGAAGTCCATCTCGCCCCAAAAGGTCAGCGTTTGCCAATGGCCAAATGAACGTCATCATCGCCATGCCTGCTGGTTATGGTGGGCTCAGGAGGAGGTGGTGGGAGAGGGAAATATCCGCTTATCTGTGGACACGAGTCTAGGGAAGGCCACATCAACCTGAGTCACTCCCTGCCTGAGGATGCTCATCCTTCAGCGAGGAAAACACTGGTTCTCAGTGGGATTTTGGTGCGTACAGGGCAGGAAGTTGACGTCAGAAGCCCTGAATTCTAGTAACGACAAGCCCAAAGAGGTTATACATTTTCACCGTTGCCACCCCCTTTTAGCCCAAACACCATCTACCCCGTTAACCAAGACTCGAGCCTTCCTCCTCTTACTATTTCCCAAGAGGGTCCCACTCACATGCTTCCAGAAACCAAGAGGAGACAGTACAGTCTGAAAGCAAAAAAACAAGGAGCCGAATGCAAGGACTCCGCGGCTGGTACCGCTATCCCAAGCCAAATCCGCGCTCCTCCGGGGAGCCTGACGCAGTCTGGAGGCGGCGCGAGAAGTTGCACGCTGTAGACAGGTTGGTCACTGGCATGACCATCTGTAGACAATTTGGTCATGATTCGGTGTGGCACAGCATGAGGCTCCAAGCTGAGGAGCCCGTTTGGAAAACGCTCCTCCTTTTACACCACCGCTTCCATAGCTTGGTCTCCACATATGGTGTATGGGTGTAGGTGATTATCTGCTCACTTTCTTGCTTCAACCTATGCATTTTATTTAAAGCAACATGACTAATTCCAGGCCCCAGATTAGCTTGTTGGTTTGTTCCTATGGGTTTTCTTGAGGCACAGAAAATACAGGAAAGCCAGCTCGAAAGCTGCAAGCAGAGGTTAAATACAACTTCCAAAAAGATCATCTGCAGAACTGTTTAAATAAAACCCTTTGTTTAATGCAGCTGTATTGTGCTGGCAGCAAGAGAGGTTTGCCAATCTCGTTTTATTTACCCAACTGATTGAAATGCGGGAAAAGTAAACAGAGTGGTTTGATGCAGTGAAGAAGGAGGCAGATTTCTGAAGACTCAGGACTCCTTCCCTTCGTAGCAAGTGCTTCCATTAGTGGCACAGACAAATGCATTGCAGTGGGTATGCTTTTGCTAAAGGAAGATTAGTTTTGGCTTTATTCTGACTGTTTTAAAAATGAATAAAAGTAGGAAGACAGGAAGGATTATTTTGTTATTTTGCTTTTGGGATTTAGTCAACCCTGTTGCTTTCAGAATCTTTTTTATTATTACTGTTTCTTTCAAGATGCTATGATTGGAAACCACCTGAGTGGGCAATTCAAGAGGAGGGTTTGGAAGTCCCTCCTTGCTGACCATCTATTGTGCATGCAGCATTTTGGGACTCCTCATCTCTGAGCCCGGTGGCCCTGGGGCCACCATTCAAGAGGAAATTAACCCTTGATGCCACCTGCAGGAAAACGTAATCCAGTGTGAGGGGAATAATGCAGCCCATGAGCCAGTGCTTGGGCCTGGAATCTCCATAAGCTCATTTGAGAAGGGAAATGTGGGTTTTTAGTGGTGTTTTTCAAAGAGCAATTTTGTTAAGACCTTATCATTTGGGGTTGGATTTTTGCCTGTTTATCTGTCGTTTTTGTGATGGCTGCATTAGCGTTGAATAGTGATTGCAAGGCGCCAATCTCTCCGCTGACAGGTGTCTTCTTCTCAGAACTTAAAATTAAAAAAAAAAAAAAAAGTTAATCAATAGTTATTGACTTGAGAATGTCCTGGAAGATATTAAATACTTATGGTCTTTCTGTGAAACCGTAAATCATGATTGTTGTTTCAAGAGGCCATCCGTGTAGAATGTTTTGTCAGCGTTTGTCCAATACGAATGTGTCCAAAGGCTGGGCTGAGCCTGGGTCAGGCGGAAACCGTTGGACGGGCAGTTGCGCATTAGTGTGTTTTGAGTAATAGTGGCGTTGCCTTTTCAAAGTGAAGAGGAAGGAAATAAACAGGGTAAGCGATTCTGTGGGTAATTAATTACTTACAGAAAATTAGATGAGCTTAACAGAATTGCTCGTTCTGGTTGCAGTAATTAAGAACCAGTCTCCGAGAGCGGGCCAGCGCTTGCCAGGCACCTCCTGTTGAGGTGGAAAGCAGCCATGATTTGGGCTTCGGCAGACCCAAGAAGGGACAGGTCCTGGCTAAGGGTCTGTAAGCTCCCCTCTCCTTCCCTAGGAGAGATGTAATGGGAAAAAGCCCCCAGAAGTTGTCCATGGTCTCCTGTATCTTTTTCTAACATTTTTGGTCCTTCTTTTAGGAAAATCACTCTGGCTTCCCCTTTCAGGGCCCTTACCATTGTCTCTCACCTGATGGTACAATTCTCCCACCTTTCCACATGTATAAACTCTTCCTCGTGGCTCTCCTAACATTCCCAGATGTCCAAGGGATGGAAGTCAGGATTGTTAACCCCTGGGGTGATCTCAGAGGTCTTCAGAGGACCAGCCACCTCCTGCCTCCCCATTGTGGGTGCAGTTGGGCCCAAGGGGACCTACCTACTGGCAACTGCCACAGAGGCCTGTTTAGGCTGCTTGGCAATACCTCGAGCTTGGGCCAGGGAAGGTTGGTCTGTATTCAAAACAAGAGTCCAGAAAGGAGCAGCACCGACCTGGGGAGAAATAGAAGATGCAGTTAAAGATGATGTAGCAGCCAAACAGCCGAAAAATGAGATCTTGGGAATCATCGGTAGAAACCCACGTGTTGGACATCCATGGCCTAAGGCGTGCGATTAGAAAGGGATTTGGCCCCATGCCATTTGCGTGGTAACTTTGTCGCAAAATGTGAAGACAAATCCTTTAAGCAGCCTTTTATTGCTTGCTATTGATTTTTCTGAGCGCGAAGAGGGCTCTTCATTAATTAGCGCTGAACCCGGTTGCTCTATGAAGGGAGTTCTGGACTCTCCCACTACTTACTGTAGGTTTTCAGAAGTTCGATAAATCAATCATTTCTAATCCTGAAAATAAAAAAGAAAGGGAAAAAAAAGGAAAAGAAAACAAACATCTACTGCCTCGTATTGGCAGACAGCAGTGAGATACAATGGCTTGCTTTATTTTTTGTGTCTCTCTAGTACTTGCCTTCAGGAAATGTCTGTCTCCCTACGTTATTTGCTGCTTATTAAAATGAATTCCTTGGGTTTCTCTGCATGTTTTAGAGGGTGCACTTCATCCATCTATTTTTTATTTGGGTTTCATCACCCGTAACAGCTTCTGAAAGTCCCGTTCGCTGCGCAAATGCTCATTTTGGCATTCTTGCTCGCTAGCCAAACCATGTATTTGGGGGCCAGGACTCCAAGATCCATGTGCTTGCTAAGCCCCGGGCTTTCTGTGATATCAGCGATATGGGAAAATACTTGGCATTGTCAAAGGAGTGATAAATTAAAGTTGGTTAAAATTAAACCATCAAAGGTTGAGCAAAACGATAACATCTGATGTTGGAAAGTTATGTAGCTCTTTATTCAAGGGGGAGCTAAATGTGGCTCGGGAACTACGCTTTGTTAAATATCAAAGAAAACCAAATCCTTTTCACAGTGTAAGAAGGCCAGAAATTGTTATTTTTAAACGACAGTTGAATAGCTGCTCTTTGATACTAGGCATTGTCTGTCCAGCAGCATTTTAGCAGTGATGTGTGTGTGATGGCACATTCTTGCCTTATTTCTGATGCCACAAGAAGTGAAAGCTTAAATAACCCAGAGTGTTGCTGGTTTGCATGCGTGCTTGCTGTAGAAAACAAAATTCACAGGTGTATGTGTAAAATTTGCAGCCCCTCTATGGGGCTGGCAGTGCCTATTGTGGCATCTTGGGCCCCTTGTGTCAGAAAGGGACACGTTGGGGTTTTAAAAAAGGTAAAAAGTGCCAAAGTGATCTCAGAGCCTCCGTCTTTTCAGTGGGTTGGAAGCGGTATGTATTGTTTTGACATCCTTGAAGCACCTAAACAAGGCAGAAAGTAACTAATTTTAGCAACTTGAACCAAATGAATGTGTCTAGGAGGACTGCAGGAATACAGGAGATAATATGGACGGTCCTTGCTCATCATTTAAGAGGCAAGTACTTTGGGAAATTGGAAGACATCTAAGTTAAATAAGGCCTTGAAAGGGTTTTTTGGTGATGTGTAATTAACCTTAAGAAGCCTTTCCCCCAAGGTAAGATGAGAAAATGAACTGGGTATTTATATGGAGTAGAAGACCATCTGCTGCCCGTCATCCGGGTGGCAAAGAAGCATCTGGGGGTGGAGGAAGATTTCCCAGGTTTTTTTGGGTTAGTGTTGAAGGTCACTAGCCTCATGTATCTATTCTAGGATGTGCTAAATTGCTCTTTGGAGGCTCCAGTCTCCTGTTGGCTACAGAGGGCTCAGAGTTAAACGAGCCCTGAATTCCACCCTTACTGCTGGGGATTAGGAAGAAATTAATACTGTATCATTTTAAACCTGGCCTCTCGAGCTGCAATGTGCTTGGTTTTCCAAGAATTTGTGCTCATCTCGGCATTACGTTTGACTGTTGGTTTGCTAAGAAATAAAGAAATATAATCTCACTTTTACGCTTAGCAGCTACATTTTCCTGTGAGCTGAGGCTGGTTGTATATACAGTCCCAAGGATTTTTCTGCCCTCGAGGTGATGACTTTAATGTATTGCAGACAGCAACATGGTATTAATGCTGCACTGTTGGTTTTCCCACACTTTCTAAGGGGGAAAAAAAAAGTCTTTTGGAGTAGTTTTGCTCAGACCAAGGGTTGTTGCTAGCACAAGAGCTAAGCTTCTTTCAACACTAAAGTTGGTAAAATGAAAAGCAAGGATCCATATTTTAGGTGTGATATAGGAGACTGGGTTTTATTGGCCAAATGTGTAGAGTTCTGAAGGATTTAGGAATTAGAGGTGTAAATGTCTCTGAAAATTTCCCTTTTTTAGGCACCCAGTTTCTTTAGGTGGTGGGACCTATGTGCATCTGTGGTCAAATGGGTTGGAAATGCTGGAAAATGGAAAAACTCCTTTGGTGTTCTTGACAGTGCTTTCCTGGACTGCTGCAGAATGATATCCTTAAGCTAGAAGACAATCCAGGTTTACTGATTTCACATTTTGTCTGCACAGAGACAAAACAGACCCTTCACTGGCCTTGAAAAAAGGGCGATTGCAGCTCACCAAAAAGCTTTGAGGAGGTCTGGGTAGCAGAAATGAAGTTTAAAAAAAAAATCCATAATTCTCTCTTTTTGTAAGAAATAACAACTGGCATTTCAGTAGTAAAATATTTGCCATAAAACCTGAGTGCCTGCGAGCACAGTGAGTGGATTTCATGCCCTGTCTCTGTCTGTGTTGCTGGGCAGAAGTGCTGCAGGTTGCAGCTAGGACTGTGTCATGTCCAGCCGTGCGGGGTGGCATGTCCTGGAGCGCAGGGCAGGCACGGTGCTGCAGCTTGCCCCCGGATCTGGGATCATGGCATCCCTCCCTGCTCGTTGCTGGAGGGCTGGATGCCCCCTGTACCTGCCCTGCAGCTCTTGGGTGCTCTCCTTGAGCATTAGGTTGTGTTGGTGCGTGCGCCGGGATGGCTCTCAGCAGGTGCTGGCAGCTTGACTAGTGATGCAGGGATGGAGAAGATCGCCAGCTCCCAAAAGTCCGGGTGATTCCCTTGGGGAAAAAGGGCTGCAGAAGGTCTTGGGTCCCCCCAGTTGGCAGAATTTGAGCGGGCCATCGTAGCTTGTTCTCAGGTACCTACAGAAGGCTGCTCTCCGCTCTGGCTTGGCCAAGTCCTTTCCTTGCCCTTTCCTTGGAAGTGGGAGGCTAGTGCCTTCAGTCACCCTACATTCTGAAAGGTCCTAATGCCATTGTCTTTGCAATAAGGTAATTTAAGTAGGCAACTCGGGAGCTAGGGGTATGGGGAAGTAAACAGCAACGGAAACATTCATGTCACACGCTATAACACACAAAGAGCAGCCAAGTTCTGCCATCTTGACACATAAAGACCACCACGTTGGAGTTTCAAAATCAGAGCCCACCCAAGATAGCGCTTTCCCTCCCCCCCCCCCATCGCTTGTTCCTCCCCCCCCCCGTTTGTTTGTTTTGTTTGTGTCTTTGAAGCAGGTTTCCAAGTCAGCGGCCGTGCGCGCGCGTGGCAGCGGTGCCGGGCTGGGGGTGGCGGGGGTTTGAGCTGACAGTGCTGGCTCCCACGGGTGAAGCCGGCGTCTGCGGCGTCGCTTCCATCCATGGGGCAGCAAGCCAGGCTCACGGGGGTGTCTGCGGGCACCCGGTGCGGGTTGTGGGGCTGTGTTGTTATATTTCTAATGTTGGTGTTCTTGTCTTTATGTCTACGCATTCTTTAGCTATGAGGATAACAGACCCTTCATCAAGTAAGAATGACCTGAATGGCTGATAAATTGCATTTATCAGTGTGGTCCCATGAACCGGCTGTCAGATCAATATGGAAAAATCATTAAAGCTTCTGTCATTCACATTGGAGGCAGAAGAGCAAACTGGGCAGGAACATGGCCAGGCATACAGCTAACGTGCAGCGTAAATGTGCTGCCTGTGTATTGCCAACCAATTTTGTCACTCTGTCTGCTCTATATTTCTTGATTGGACACTACTTGAATCCAAGGTGAACATCGCCTCAGTAATCGTGCGTGGTACAGACTTGTTTTGCCAACAGCAACTCTCTGGGCTGCTGTGCTCTGCGGCTGAGCGTGCTTGAGCAAATGCAAGACAGAAGTAAACTTGCAGAAAGGTGCCTGTGCGGTGGTTCCCCTTCTGGTTGATGGGACCACCCCGAGCAAAGCCCTCTTGGGTGCTCAGGACACATCCAGATTGGAGTCCCCAGTTGGCCCTCACTCCAAGATTTGCCACTGTGCCAACAGGCGATGGTTTTGTTTCTGTGCCGCTGTCTAATGGCATCAGAGAAAGACTATGAGAAAAACAACAGCAAGTCTGTACAGAGAGCCAAGCAAAAACCACAAACCAAAATGAAAAAAAAAAATAGCCAAAAATGCCTAGAAATGCTTCAGAGCATCCGTGCTTTTGTCCTGCAACCAAAAAAATAAAGCACAGTAGCACAAAACAGGAGCAAATCAGCTTCGCCGTCGACTTTCAGTTTGTTCTTCTGGTGAAGAGTCCTTTTGTGTTCGTTCTCCCAGTCTCATGCCCATCTTCTCTTTCACACTTCGGCTCTTTATTTTTTCTTTTGCTAATTATTTCGTTCCTGCGCCCAGGGAAGGGAGCCGTGAGAAGGAAGCTCCGCTCCCCCTTTCTCCTCTCCAGGTTGGGTTGCTGCAGCCCTGCGCTGGGTCATCTTGCACGGCGAGGTCTCCTCCCCTGAAGGTCCCTTTCCATCCGTGGAGGCAGCACGTTTCCCTTGTTGCTAAAGCCACCCTTTGACTCCCGTGCACCTCCCCAGCCAAAGGCTCTGCAATCAGGCCGAGGAGTTGGCTGCGGTTCAACACCAAATAGTTTTCCGATACCCTGTGGGCGATTTTCAAAAGGCTCTTTGAGTGAAGGAGCCTTTCAACCATGGAGAAAAAGAGAAGGGGGGAAGGAAAGGGGTTTCCCCTTATATATACATTTTTTTTTTTTTAAGGAAAAAGAAAACATTGATTTATACTTTAAAACTGGCAGGCAATTAAGGTCATAGCGTGCTGTCACTGATGGTGGAATCTCTAGGAGAAAAGCATACCGAGCCGCCAAAGCTGTCAGCTTTATCTGGTGGCTACCTTTCAGAAGGGCTTTGAGAGCGCAGTTTCATTTTGCATAGTGCTACATATTTATTAGGAGGATTGACTGGAAATGCTTCAAAGGAGCTGTTCTGGTCTGCTAGACACATAAGAGTGATTTTTTAAAAGAAGTGCCTAAATAAGTGGATACCTTAGGGAGCTCTTTCGGTCGCGTGGTTAAATAATACCTATTTTAAGCTTCAGTGGAAGGCGTAATGCTGTATTTTCTCTCTAATATTTAAGGAGGGAAAAAAAAAAAAGGACAACACAAACCATAAATACGACCATGGTTTGCTTCTGTTTGCGACAGGCCCCGTTGAAAGCAGAAGCCCGCGATGCCGCGGAGCCTTGGTGGCAGAGAGGAGCAGCTCGAGCCCTGCTGACCTTCCTCCTCATCTCCCTCTCCACTGCCCCACGCTCTGCTCAGCACGGGGAAGCCCAAAGCCAGGCCAAGTGTCCTGGGGGCTGAAGCCACCGTGGGCTGAGGGATGGGGAGCAGCAGCCCTGGGGGCTTGGGAGATGGGCAAGGAAGCCTGCAGGCCTTGGGGAGCCGAAAGGCTGAGGAAGAGGAGCAAAGACTGATGGCTGTGCTGGCATCATAGGGTGTTAGGGCTGATTTTTGCTAGGGGAAAACAGAAAGGAATCGAGGTCACACAGCCCAAGGCAGCAGGGCGGCAGCAGGTGGGGCTGGAGCACATAATATTTGTGTTATTTCCCCACGGCATCGCGCTGGCAAGGTGGCATTTGGCTTCGCTGGGTTGACCGGTTTGTTTTCTTGCTCCTGCCATTCAAGAAGCGGCATCTCCATCTCATTCCCATGCGCGCTGCTTTTTCGTTGGAGAAGGGAGCGGGAGCGCTGTGGGGGATGGGGGCGTTGGAGTTGCGGTGTTGATCGTCATACCAGTAAGAACAGCGTCCATGCTCATGACATTTCCCTGTCTGTGTATCTCCTCAAGCTCAAAGACTTGCAAGCTGCATCCAATCTGACGCAAAAACCCCAGCAGCTCTGGATTGATGCTGCTGCTTGATAAAGCAACGGCTCCAGTTGCTTCTGCTTGTAGATGCTTGTATGCTGTTGCAGGTGGAAGACCAACGCCTTTCTTCCTCTGTTTTGTTTCTCCTAACAGGTCCTGGGTTATAGGTGCAATAGCCCTACTCTGCCTACTAGGACTGACCTGGGCCTTTGGACTCATGTATATTAATGAAAGCACAGTCATCATGGCCTATCTCTTCACCATATTCAATTCTCTGCAGGGAATGTTTATATTCATTTTCCATTGTGTCCTCCAGAAAAAGGTAAGACAGGCGGTTCCCGGCGGTAAGAGCAGCAGTAATGGGGTGTTTTGTAGCCTGACAACTGCAGCTTCCCTCCCTTTCCTAATACCCAAAGGAAGTTTGCAACAGATCCTTGGCCTTTGCATCCTTTAGTCTCAATTTGTGCTTTTGGAAACCTTCCTCAAAAACAAGCACAAAAAAAAAAGTGTTTCACAGGGCGACGTGTAATGTGACACAATGAACAATTTGCAAGGTAACAGCAGAGGAACTTGGGGAAACTCTGATTAAAGAAAGGGAGAATAAACTCTGTGTGTGTCTGTGTAGATCAAGCTTGGAGCTGCTGACAATCAGTAATAAGTATCTGTAAGGACCATTTTATTCTGCACGAAGGGTCAGTGGTGCAGCACTCTGTGCATGTCCACACTTGGCTGTTAGTGTTCGTGTTGGTTTTGAAGGCCGGTTTCCTTACGTAAGATAAACAGAGGGAAGAGTTTACACATGGACAACTGGGTCTGTGTGCCTGGTGCTTTTTGGTGAAATGGCCTGCTGGGTGAAGTTAAGGTCTTGCTCAGGGCTGTTCCTCGTCAAAAAGACTCTTTTTTTTTGCAATATTATTCACACGAGTGGAAATTTTGTGTGGGCTCAACTGGAAAATGATATCTGGCCTAAAAGGATATAAATAAAACGTATTATAGCAAGGCACCCTTGAGGCTGAAGAGAGATTTTTCTGGAGTCAGAGCTTTGCTCCTTTTGCTCATTTTCTCTTAAATTCATTCATACTAATAGACCAAAAAGCTTTAGTTGTAGCTTAACATGCTCCAGAATATCTTTAGGCATCTAGGTGAAACATTTTGGGGGCAGGTGGAGTTTCAGATCTGCCCTCCCAACAACCTGCACAGCCCGGCCCAATCCCTCTTGCAAGCAGCCAGCTCCTAGCACAACATGCTGCATTGGCACCAGATCCTTGTCAGCTCTCAGAGGGCTAATTTTGCATGGAAAGACCATGCGCTCGTCTGCCTCGAGCAATTTCCTACCCTTCATCCATGGCTGTTTGCTCTGAAATTGCTCTTGATGGATAGCGGCCCAGGGGAAAGGCGACGAGAGGCCGGTACCTGGCCACGGGGGTGGACATCTCTTCTGACCCTAGAGCTGAGGGAGGAATTATTTGAGGAAGAAAAAGAAAAATCTTTTCCCTTCCTATCTGTCATGGGCTAGAAAATCAGCAAAAAGCTGCAGAGAGGAAGCAGTGGGTGGCTAATTAAAGCAATTGAATTATTTTCTCTCAGCAAAGGATTGATTAGGCATTCGAGCATATTGGGCACTCGTGGCATTGTGGTTGTCTCAAGTGCTTAAGGAAAAGCCTAATGAAAAAGCTGTAATTTGCTATTTAAACGGCTGCTTCACCGTGTTCTGAATTGCTCGCAGTCAGGCGAGGGGGATTTCACAGCTAAGTGAGCGCTGCGTGCTCTGAGTAACCCCGGTGCGGGTTTGGGGCGTGCACGTACGTGTTGCTGTCCAAAATCTGACGCGATCGGACCTCAAACTTGGCCAAAGCTTCACCTCGCGCCAAGGGTTCCCGTGACACCAGGGTCCCCCGAGGAGCTGGCCCGGGTTGATGGCAATGCCCATGTGCAACGCGACTGTCGGAGCTCACAGCCATCCCCGTTTCATTGGCTCAGGTCCGTAAGGAATACGGGAAATGCCTGCGCACTCACTGTTGTAGCGGGAAAAGTACAGAGAGCTCCATCGGCTCGGGAAAAACCTCGGGGTCGCGGACGCCTGGAAGATACTCCACAGGCTCACAGGTAACGCGCGTTTCTTCTCCGGGAAGCGAGGGCTTCGTGCCTCCTCGCCAAGCCTCTTGACGGCAGCGTGGCCACTGGGGCTGGGCAAAGTTGCACTCTCTGCTCCCTGTTTAAGCTGGTAGTTGAGCTAAAAGTTAATCTGGAAACAGGTCGTTGCTTGCTAGCAGCTTTTGGTGGCCTGCAAGGGACAGTGAGGCCAGCATGAGCTGCTCTAGTGCTATCCCCAGTGCCACCACAAGGACCTCGGCCTGAAGTTGATGGTTCATTCTATTGGGTGGTCACCTCCTTTGGTGCCACCTCCATTGGCCAAGAACCTCCTATACAATTGTGGCAAGGCTGAAAAGCCCAAATTGTGCCTTCAAAAGGCACTCGTGACCTGAGCAGGCTCCAGGAGGAGCGGGAACTGGGAGCGTTTTGTCAGCTCTGTTACGTGCCTTGCAAGAGCAGCCCGGCGCGTCCTTGGCACGCTCCGAAGGTTGCGCTCACCTCTCCTGCCATGTGCAGTAATGATACCGTAACAACCACGTGTTTTTCTCGCTAAAAAAAGACTACAGTCTTGTAGTCACTCCTGCCAAGAAAGGGCTCGCTTTCTGCCATCCACTGATTTGATCAATTCCTTTCTTTGGCCGATTTTCCTCAGTTTGTGTGTCTCTTAAGAGAGTATCCAGTGAGGGTCAGATTAGCTTAGAAAGTCACTGGATTTGTTATGATTTGGTCATCTCAAAATCTAATTTTTGTTTAGTTTGTGGACTTTGCAGTTTTCAAGCTGACTTTTATGCACCGATACAGATTTATAGGAGTGCAGTTCATACAAAATGAAGAAGCTTACTACTTAATCAATAGAAACCAAACACAAATTTATTCAGTATTACTAATGGAAGTAATTATACTTGACAGTTCAACTATTAAATTATGAAAGACACACAGCGAGTAACAGTTTATAACCTCTCAGGAAAACATAATTTGCGATTTATGTCTCAGAGCAAATGGTTATTTATTTTCTGCCGTTTCCAAGATGTCATCCATCCATGCTCTACTTTGGCATTTACCAAGCTCTAGATATCATGTAGGGCAAATAGGTATAGAATAGGGAGCTTCTGCCCAGGAGACCATCAAAATGCCACATCAATGCTCAATTCCCATCTGCACCAGACTTACCATATCCAGCAACATTTGGGTGGCTGGTTTGAAATGTGTTGGATTTGAGCTGCTCAACTTGCAGGTAGGTGCCCTCCTTGCCAAGAAGAGGTGACTTTAACAGGTCCTCCCTCTCAGCATCCTCAGCTCAAGATAATAAGTCCTTCTGAGCGTGAACTGACTCCCCCAGCAGCAGGTCAGTCATGTCAGGCTGAGTGTTTAGGGTACCGAGGCAGGTCGTGTTGCCCATTGCAGTTTGTCCTTGGATAGAGGGACCTAGGACCTTCCAGGAGAAGCCTCATGTGAGATCAAGAACGGGTAGAGACCCAAGGGGTGAGAGCATTTGACTCCAACATTTTAACAGCAAAGTCCATGCAGAAGGAAATTCAACAAAAATTTTTTTTTTCTTTTTTTTTATTTTTCTGCAAAGCGCTTAGGGAACTGGCTCATGGTGGCTGATCACTGGATCCACCACACTTGGTCAGAGAGATGCAATGGTTGAAATGCCCAGCTGCAAACTATTTGCTATACAATTGCGTGGGTCACATGATAAACCGTGGTTCATCTTATAAAGGGCTAATGAGTGATTAGGAGATCCCATTAATATGTAAATGATGACTAGAGCAGGAGACTTGGGGTTTGCTTGTGTTTTGTCACAGGCACTGCAGATGAGCTCCTCACAAGGTTGGTGCAGCTGCCATGTTTTTGCAGGGTGCAGCTGATAAGGAGGAGGTAGAAAGCGGTGCAAAAGCTGCAAAGATAAATTGTTTGCAGCATCCTGAGCAAACCAAAGAGAAGGCCGACATGATCGGCACGCCGCTTCCCTTGCAGCACACAGATGGCAAAATCCTTGCTTGTTTTTCAGGAGAAGAATAGAAATCATTTATTTGCACTTGTGTGGTCTTTTACTGAGATTTCCCTGGGATGGATAGCAGCTATAGAAAACTCCCATTCATCCAGGGACACGAAGACACAGATCAGCTCTTCTGTTTTACTTTACAAAAATAGATGCATGATATCTGGGGGAATACAGAGAAGCATGCATGCTTCTTCCCGTAGGTTATTTTTCTATTATTTGATGTCATATTGATGAATATGTAGCTTGCATGTGTTTTCTCATATATAATGTCAATTGCTTTATTTTTTTTTTAATTTTATTCAAGAGCAAGCAGGCAATCCAAGCAAACGTATTATGCACCTCCTAGCTGGTGGTAGGCATTTGTGTTATGAAGTTAGTCAGCATCTGCTGGGATTATAACAAAAGAGCAACTATGGGCTGGGCAGAAACAAGTCTCGGGGTGAGCTAGCCATGCCAGTATCCTCTTTAGAGAGGCAGAAAGAAACCTCTCTGCCACCGCTGAAAATTCATTGCCTGCTGTGGTTCAATCCCTCCTCAGAGCCGGATTCGTAGGATGTGGAATGACACAGTTCGAAAGCAGTCCGAGTCTTCCTTTATTACTGGAGATATAAACAGTTCAGCTTCACTCAACAGAGGTAATTATAAACTATATATATTTTTTTTCCTATGTCTAACTCTCGTGGTGACTTTATGGATTTTTAAAATGTATTGCCCCTTTTCCCCCTCTCCCTCACTCTCCCCTGCTCCCCACCACAAATCGCACTGGGCTTTTATTCTCTCACTTGCAAAATGTTACGGTGTTTACCAGGAGGAGGTTTGGCGGCGGTCGTTTCCTTTTTTTCTTTTCTTTATTTTTTACACATGCATTTTCAAGACCTGTCATCCCTGGAAGGAAGTTAGGGGACCCCTTTTCAACCCACCCCCAGAGAAAAAAAAAAAGCTGGAAAGAAACCTCCACCTTCCCACCGCAAAGCGCTAGTGCCGCGAGCTCGCACAGTGTCAGGCCTCACAGATGGCAGCCGGAAGGGGCTGGTTGAGGGGGGGG